TCTTTCCTTATACTCTGTATTCCTACAGCTTCTTTATTTATAATTGAAGGTTTCAACAAATAAAGAATTATCGAATCAAATCAAAAGGCCAACATTATTAAACGTTACCACTAAACAAATACAGTCCTCAAATTATAGTGCTGCAAGCATCGGCGACTACGATTGCTTGCGGTTCAAAAACAGTAGAAGTTTGGTTCTCCATAGGGAAACGGTAGAGGAGTTGTGATCAACTCCTCAATTAAACAGACCGTCGGTAGTCGCGACACAAAGTAAGCAAAATATGCTTTCAAATATCTGTTGTTATTATTTGTAGCAAGCTCTTAGAGAATTATAAAAAATGTATGCAGCAACAAACACATTTCTATTTGTACAACTAAAGTGGACAAATAAGCTAAAATATGAACGAAGAACTAAATAGATAGGTGAACAGATCATGGATTGCCAGACGGACAGTATAGACAGGTAGATAGACTGTTGCGCCGAGCGAACACTCCCAGGCCCAAGGAAGACAAGAAGACTCTTCAAAGACAAGATTCTAGAGCCGGGGAGCAGGACCGTTAAGAAAGCGGGTTCGCTGGTGCTTCGGGAAAAGGCCCGACCTGGCGGAGTCAGATCTAAGGGAAATCTCGACCCCGCCTAAACCAAGAAACGTGTATATATAGCCAGGACTTAAGGACGAGGGGACGAGTTTTACTTTGGAGTGATCTGTATTACTAACGGTTTTTATTGCTTTAATTTGTATGTTCGACTTATGATTCTGCTTTAGTTGTTTTAATGTTCTAACTCATGCACTTCGTTTCATGATTTTGTTACTAAATGGTTGAATTACCCAAGTTTGAGTTTGAGATTTGGTATTGTATTAACCGCTTCCTGAAATAAACTATCTAACTGTCAGGTCCCCCGTGGCAGCAGAACAGCAACGGAAAAATCCTGTAGCCTTCAAGAAAGAAACAAGACAACTACCTATCCTGAATGTCAATTTATTTATGTAGACAGACAGGTAGATGTTTGACAACAAAATGTTGAGATCAAAAAAATACAGTTTTAACTATTTTATTAACCACATTTGAAAATAAATCATAGTACTTTGTTATTTCTGAGGTTTTTTTGCTTCAGTTTTTAATTTGGCATCATGTGCACACGTCAAACCCAGGAGCAGTACACGATGGTAGAAAGATATGCAGTTGTAACGAAATTAGGCTTAGATGTCAATAAAAACCATTTATTTTCTGCTGCAGTTACATTTTAGACCATTGTCTTTGCAGCAAAAAAGTCTTAAATCTTTTGAGTTTCTATAAGTCTCAAAAAGTTTCAGCAAAAAATTAATTTCGCTTTTCTCTTTCTTGCTCGTATCTTCAGCATCAAGTAATTGAATTGAATTTTTATAGCAGGATTATGCAGTTTTCTTGCAGAACAATAAATCACTGCCAGCGTTTTTGCATTCTTTTTCCAGTTATGTGTCGTCAACATGAAGTTATCCAATAAATCAAATACTAATTAAAATTAGTGAGTTTTTAACTTATAATATTCGTAGCTCATTAAAAATGAAAACATATAAAAGCTATAGATTAAGACATTTATTATTTTAAAAATATTTATTATATAATAAACTTTTCAGCTACAAAACGTTGTCAAAATTCCCAAAATCTTTTTTTATTAACCTACCA